TCAGACTAGTCACCACTTGTAGCCAGATAGTGAATGGCAAGAGAGTTGTTACAAAGAAAGTTCTAGAAAATGTAGGGGGCAAGACTAAAGTGGAAAAAGAGAGACTATTTCATAAGATTCCTCTACCTCAATGGTAAGGAGTTGCTGCTATATGTTCTTTTAACAGGGACTTTGATATGAAGTGTGTATGTTTTGATGTTTATCTAAGACAGGATTGGAATCTGAGAGTGTTGAACTTGAATGGACAGAGGTCATCTCAGTCCAAACCTCTCATTTCACTGAGGAGGGGAGTAATTGCTCAAATATTGGCACAAGAAATTAGCAAGCAGCAGAGCTGACTGTCTAGGCCAAGTCTTCTAAATCTTTTTCCCTACACAGTTGGAACAGTAGAGACCACCACCACAGCTAAGGCCTTCAAAGTCAGGGAAGGGCACTCCATAATCCCATAGACTTTAACTCTTTTCCTGCCCTACCTAGCTACTACCCCATCCCCTCCCCCTAGTGACCTCTTCCTTGGTTATGCTTTTTCTCTCCTTAGCCTCTTCTTCTCTGCCTCTGCTCTTCCCACTTCATCTTTCTTCCCACGCATTTCCCATGATCCACATCACAATCAGGTTCAATTCAAAAAGTTATCTAGATGTAGATTAATTCTGGCAGAGAGAAAGTGAAAAGTAAGTGGGTTAAGTTTTTTATATGCTTTTTAAATAGCATTTGTTGAGTACTCAGTACATGCCTAGAATTCTACTTTCAACATGTGTTATCTCAAAAATTCTATCAGCAGTAAAATTTAGTAGCTGCTTTTCCCCGTCATATAGATAAGGAAATGAGGCTTAGATTAATAGGCCCCAGGCCCCACCTAGTAAGCCATAAACATTGTCCTACTCTAAGCATGTTCTCACCTACTGAACTGTAGCATCTGGAATACTACTCACTGGTTTTTAAATCCAGGGCCTTACACTCATTGGAAATTTAGACCTATCATCTCTAAACCTTAATTGAATGCATGAGTACTTGCTGGAGCTTACTAAGTGTGCAAACATTTTTAATTTTATGGCTCCTCAGGAACTTAAAGTCTCCTTTTATATGAAGACAAAAAAACACTATAACAAGTTTTGGTAAAACCGACTCATGACTAGGTGTTAACCCAGAAATCCAAAGATAAGAATTGTGTTTTGTTTTGGCTTTAATCATTGCGTATTTACAAAATCTTAGGATGTTGGTTGTGCTGCTTACCTAGAGTTGGTCACAATTCATCCCTTTAATTTACATTAAGAAACAGATTGGGATCTGGATGTGTTGTTCCTTATGGAAAGTTACTGGTGGATTCTGTACCAGAATCTGTCTTCAGTTCCCAGTCCAGGCTCACTCAAGTGTACCACACTGGTGGGCAAAATTTGGGTTTCCTTTCTATACTCTTGTATAGAAGTTGTAACAAATTATTAACTTAATCAAGGAACTTTCCTGTGTGTGCAATTTTTATATAACAAATGTTTTATGTAGTTTTTGAACATACTCATCTTAGTAAATTTTCCTGAACAGGAATATGCCTGCATCCCTCTGGCAAAGGGTCCACACTTCCAAAAAAAGAAACAGAAGGTGGATTTAGATTCAGAACACATCCTATTTCTTTCCAAGCCCATGGATTTCCACTTAGTAGTCACCGAGGGCCTTGCACTCAGTGCTAAGTGCGTTACATAATCATTTTTCTCCAAAGCCTTTGGCAGCTTATTTCCACTTTACAAGTGAAGAAACTGAGTCCCTTACCCAGGGAGGAGTCAGATAGCCACTTGCCTGACCTGAAGCTAATGTGTCTCAGCAATAGACATGGTTTCAGAAGAAGGTTTTATTGTATGGTTGGATTAACAATATTCATTGCAACCTTTCTACCTCCAAATGGGGTGTTCTTCTACCCACTCTGCTCTGAGGTGAACTGCAGTGTGTCTAACAGAACAAAGAGAAAATCAAATTGGAGCATAAAACATGATTTTCTATTTTGTCTTAAGTGAAATTCACATTTCAGCATTTTTCACAGACATACTTGGCTTTTGACAGAAATGCTGAGTTGCAGGACATTTTGCCAGCAGAATTTGTTTTTTTAAAATTCACTTTGAATTAGTAAAGGAAGTTTTCTAGTGGCAGAGAAATGAAAGCAGAGTGCTCTCTTCCTGGTGCCTGTTTCAAATATGTAAGGTTAAGAGTGAGCAACAACAGCACAGGAGAGACAGGAGGGAGGGCTGAGCTGCTTGGCGAAGCCTTCCAAGTCAGCATTTGCCTCAGTGTGCAAGGGAGAGCACAAGCTCTGCAGTCACTTCTAGTTCACATCCCTAGGGCCTCGCGGTGTCCTCAGCTTTGCTCCTGTGCTTTCCGTTTGCCAAAAGCTCCTCTCAGTCAGATTCAGTGCAAAGAGTTGAGAGCTAACTCTCAGCCAGGCCACGTGGCTCACATCTGTAATTCTAGCTACTTAAGAGGCAGAGATGGTAAGGATAGCAGTTCGAGGCTAGCCTGGACAAAAAGTTCATGAGACTCCATCTCAAACAATAGCTGGGATGCATGCCTGTCATCACTGTAGCTGCCCTAAGAAGCACAGATAGGAGAACTGCAGTCTTCAGGCCTGCCTGGGCATAAAGCCCTGTTTCAAAGATAATCAATGTGAAAAGGGCTGGTAGAAAGGCTCATAGTGGTAGAGCACCTTGCCTTGCAAGCTTCAGCCAGTGAGTTCAACCCCCAGTGCCACCATAAATAAGTAAGTTTGAGAGCCATTCTCAAAGTTACAGGTTTCACTAATGGGCAAATCTTTGTCTCTTATTTTCTATTCTTGCCCTATCAGTCTATCAAACAACTGCCTTTTATATGCTATGGTTTTGAATAATTATCCACAAATTAATGTGAAACATTTTGTCTTCTAGTAGCTGACAGTAGATGTTGCCCAAACTCAAACACACAGTCGACCAGCTAGGAGTGATTTCTCATTCTGCTCTGGTCATGCTAGGTGGTGACAAGTGCTGAGGACTGCATTCCAGTGGAGAGCGGTGGAAGGAGTAATGAGCCGCAGGTGTGTCCCTCAGGTCAGGGAGCGTGTGCAAGAATGCTCAAATCCCGTCAGAAGCCCACGCTCCCACACTAACAAGTGAGGACATGGAGGAGGAAGAATTTGCCCATGGTTTCACAGTGGGTTTTCCTTCAGCCCATCCCACACTCAGCCTGGCACCATACATGAGATAGGTGGGAGGTGAGAACAACCTCCCTGGGGCGACATAAAAGGGAGTCAGAGTTCCATGCATTTGCTCATTGTGTCCCCCTGTCAGTCCAGATAGGTGCAAAAAAATGTAGGTAAAATCCTGAACAAAAAGGTCAAGTACAGCTGGGCACTGGTGGCTCACACACCTATAATCCTAGCTACTGAGGATCACGAGGATCAGGAGGATTGTGGTTCAAAGCCTGCCTGGGCAAATAGTTACACAAGACCCTATCTCGAAAAAACCCTTCACAAAAAAGGGCTGGTGGAGTGGCTCAAGGTGTAGGCCCTAAGTTCAAACCTCAGTACCACAAAAAAAAAAAAAAGTCAAGTACAGCCAGCCTACTTCCCGACCCAAGTCTCCTAAGACACAGGTTCTTCAGAGAGTCTAAAACAATAACAAAACTAAGGTGACAGGCAGTCAGCCTCGTTTTCAGGAACTTTAAGCCACTTTATTTATCTGGGGACTCATCCCTTTTGTAAGAATCCCATTATTACTTCACCCAAAAGCTTCGTAGTATCTAAGAATACCTAGATTGTAGTGTGCCTGACTCTGTGCCTGAGGATGTGAGGAAAGCACTCTGAGGAGAGCAGGGATGGGGTTTGCAGTTGGCAGCCCTGTCCCTCACCACCATACTTGGAGTCTTGAGGGCCCATTGAGAGGGACTAAAGTAGGGGTCCTCAGCATGGAGAGGTTGGTTTTCAGGCTGAAGTAGGATGGTTCTGATTTTGAAGGGAAGAAAGAATCTTCCAGAGGGTGATTCATTTTACTAATGCCCATTTTTTAAGTTGACAAGGTTCCTAGAAGCCTTACACTCTAGACCCCATTGGACCATCGAGAGATGACTTGTATTTAATTACAGTGTCAAGAGCAAAGGGGGATTATAAAAAGGACATCAGGTTGGTGTAGTGGCCCATGCCTGTAATCCCAGCTATTCAGGAGGCAGAGATCAGAAATACCATGGTTTGAAGCAAGCCTGGACAAAAATATTAGCTGAGACCCCAATTCAACAAACAAGCCAGGATGGTGGCTCATGTCTGTAACCCCAGATATGCAGGAGGTGTTAGTAGGTGGATGGCAGGCTGAGTCCAGTCCTAGGCAAAAAGTGAGACCCTATTTGAAAAGACACCAAAAGCAATAAGGGCTGGGGACACAGCTCAAGTGGTAGAGAACCTGCCTAGAAAGTGCAGCACCCTGAATTTGAACCCCAGTATGAACCCAAGTCTGAAGGAGGGAGAGGGGAAACAGGCCATCAGCTTGAGCTGCAGGCAGATGAGTTCAAATCCCATGCCTCCCTTTCTCAACTGCTTGCTCTTAGGCAGGTTAACTTCTTGTTTTATTCTTGGTTTGCCTGTAAAACAATGATGATTGTCTTTGCCTGTCCTAATTTGTAGAGTTTTTATGGAATTAAGTACATAGAAAATTGTGCATAAACTTTAATATATTTTATAAATGAAACAAGTCCTTATTCCTTTTGGAAGCATTCTTGATCATAAGAATACAGGTTATAAATTTGCCATGAGTTTTTTGAGATGTGACTTTTGTGATGTAATCTTGAAACAAACCCAGCTATGGCTTGTGTTTAATCCCCAAAACACAAGTGAAAGATGGAAGATAAAAATAGAAAATTCCATTGTTACCGTCTTGACAATAGTGAAAAGTACTGTTTTTAGCTTGGGGATGGCTGGTGTAACTTTTGCCTTTTTCTCTTTTTCTCTTCTTATCCTTGGACTTAAATGCTAACTTTACCCTCTGCCATTATAGGAAATTGATGGAAAGTCCCTGCTGTTGATGACGAGGAATGACGTGTTGACTGGACTTCAGTTAAAATTGGGGCCTGCTCTGAAAATCTACGAGTATCATGTAAAACCTCTGCAGACAAAGCACTTAAAGAACAGCTCTTCATAGGACAGCCACATAGGGGTCTTAGACCTCAAAAAAATGCATAACGACATCACTTAGTTTCATGTGATGAAACTTTGTAAACAAAATACATACACGTGTATTGTAAAGAAATTCAGTCAAAGGAAACGCTATCCTATTGGATAGACTAGGCAGCCCATCAGCTGACCTGCATTCAGCCAGGAGGAGCAAGGGTAAAATGTGCACAAGACGCTTTCCTTGTACAGTGTGTCAGACAGATGACCTTTGACTTGATTACATTCCCTCCCCACGGGGCTTTGAAATCATAAGAATTTTCTTCATTTCTTCATAAGAGAATTCAATGGAATAAGCATCATTGGGTCACAGACTTAGCAGTAAAAATGACAGTTTGGGGAGGGGGAAGAGAGAAAAAGGGATCACTGTCTCCCTTGACTTCCTCTGTTCTGTAGAGCTCGTGCACTTGGATGGAGTTGCCAACACCCTTGTTTGTAGAGGGTCTCCACTTGACCTTGTTAAGGTTTCACTGGGATATGCTGCGATATTTGAAGTGAACGAGCATTGTGGCCCCTTCAGGAGCAGAACTGCAGCTCTGCAAAAACTCTTGTGTGCTGGGGACATTCGTCCATATTCAGCTTGCTGTCACAGGGGTGATATTTTCTGCATAGATTTGCTTACATTGGTTCTTTGTTTCTGGAGAAAGCATTTTTTTTTTTTTACTTTATGGTTTGTATTTATGGTAATTCGTTTCTGAAGAAATTTGCCAAGAGTTATAGATCAAAAAGCCTTGTTACCAGTACAGGATATTTTTATATATATATACATATATATATATATATATATATATATTCGAATCTTCATGATGCTGTAATATTTTTAAAAATTTTTTGTCCTATGCTTTGATTCCTGGTTTGAGTACTTTTTTTAAAGAACTTGAAAATGTGGACTTGCCATATCTCTGTTCCAAGAGACGTTTGTTCAATCTCTGTGCCAATGCCTTGTTGAACTGGTGCTTTGTGGTTGCAGTGAAACATGGCTGAGTTTATTCCCTCTGTGTCTGTGACTTGTTTGCTTGCCTCTTCAAGAATGAAAGACTGAGGTCTTCTCAAAACCATAGAGAGAAAATGAAATCTTTAAATATCATTATGGACATTATATAGATCTATATGTGAATTGATATTTTTATTTTTTATTATTATTGTACTGGGGGTACATAATGACATTTACAAAAGTGCTTACAATATATCAGTTGAGTTCACTGCTTCTGTCATTCTCCTTTAACCCTCTTCCCCCTGTTTCTGGAACAGTTTCATCAGGTCTCATTTTTCCATTTTCATACATGAGTACATAATATCTCCACCATATTCGCTCCTACACCCTTTCCTTGTACCCTTTCTCCTCCCATTTATGCTACCCTCCAGGCAGGACCTGGTTTACCTTCTGTTCTCCATTTTTGGAAAAAAGGCATTTTTGTTTGTTTAAAATAGCAATGTAGGGAATTTCATTGTGACATTTCTATGTATTTATGTATTATAACCCAAATTGGTCCATCCCTTTATTTTTCTCCTTCCTACCTTAGTCCTCTTCTTATGGTGATTATGAATTGACCTTGATTGTATACCTGTAATCCCAAAACTTGGAAGGCAAGAGGCAGGAGGATCTTGAGTTCAAGGCCAGGCTGGGCTACATAGTGAAATCCTGTCTCAAAAAAACTAAGAGCTGGGGATATAACTCAGTAGAGCTCTTGCCCAGCAGGTGCAAAGCCCTAGGTTTGATCCCCAGCACTCCAGAAAATAACTTTGCAGAGAGTTGATGGACTCTGTGTTTCCCTCTTCCTCCTCTTCAAGTTGAGTCCCTATCTTAGAGAGTGTCATAATTCAGTGCCCTAAAGGGATAATTAATTACCACATAGAACAGAAAATCTGAAGATAAGAATAAAAAGACATAGAAAATAGAACAGATGGCGAGGTTCAAATCAATTAGGGGACTTATGGGCGTCTGGAACTTCAGTAATACTTTGTTTTGTACTACAAATAGAAAAGGTGGTTATCAAAGAAATGATCTATCCCCAAATTCCCACAGTTTACTTAAGCTGCAAACACAAGACAAAAGGTAAAACACAGTGAAGCACTATGAGAAGTGACAGTGACAACAGGTAAGAGCAGCAGTTGCTGGAAACCTGGATGGGGGGGTCAAGGATAAGGAAGACAAAACAAAGAATTTGATTAAAACTTTTATAAAATGATGGTGATGGTTGACCTCTAACTCGAAGGGATAACATGAGGAATATCTGAGCCCTGCTCTGGGCATCTTCCTGATACCCTTTGTGTTAGTTTGAGATAGGTTTGACTATGAGTGATAGAAAGTGGTCTCCCCCACCCCCACTGGGTGGTGTAAACAAAATAAATGCATATTTCTCTGTTACGTAAATGTCCAGATTGGGGACCAAGGGTGGCACCCACCCTCCATGATGTTAAGACACAGGCTTCTTCTATCTTTCTGCTCCTTCATGCATAACATCCATTCCCAGAATCATTTCACAACCCAAAAAGGTAGCTTCAGCTATTGCCATCACCACATGAATTCTAACCAACAGGGAGAAGAAAAGGGAAAGGATATGTTCTTTTAGAATGCTTCCAAGAACTGTGTGTACTACCTCCTCCTATATCTTGCTGACCAGATTTCAGTCTCATTGCCATACCTAAGCTACCAGGGAAGCTTGAAGTAGTCCTTTTACTTGGAAACCATGAGCCCACTTAAAATTCTAAGTCTTAATATTCTGCAGTCAAACAAACAAATTTGACCTAAACCAACTTTTATCTGTGAGCAAGAAATTTGACCCCATGGGGTCTCTGTATATAAAAAACTACAACCTACCTTGATGTACAAGCAAATTGTAACCTAAACCAAGAGTATACCCTTGTAATTAAGCAACTGTGCCTCATCCAATCCCAGCAGATGACTCTAGCTAATCCCAAAATGAAGGTAGCTAAATTATGCCCAAATAAGGTTAACACCAAACTGGAACAACTGGATAATCTCCATATGTCATTTCCTGTCTTTCTGCTTATAAAAATAGCTCACCACATTGTAAGAGAAGGCATTCTAAAGGATCTTTGGTCTACGAGAAGGCATTCTAAAGGATCTTTGGTCTACAGTGCTGCCAAGTTGTAGAGTCTCTTCCTTGCTCAAGTAAAGTCTTTTAAATTTAGCCAGTTTTTTTTTTTTTAAGAACACCATAGAAAAAGAGACAAGGGATGTTTCAGGATAACCTGTATTGACCACTCTCAGCAAGTCACTTCACACTCAAACCAAATGACACTGAGAGTGTGCCTTTGCTGTGTTTTTCTCCAGATTGAATTTGGGATATACTAATTCAAGTAACCTTCAGAGAAGGATTGGATTTCTCTTAAGTACTTTTGTTGGGGGAGGAGAAAAATGTCTGAAAAGCAACAGAAAAGTATAAAAATCATTCCTCATGTCAACGGCCTGAATGCGCCCAATCTCATCTAAAAATCATTCCTCAGCCTCTGATGACAAAATTAGCAAATTAAAGACTGACTCAGAATAAAATATACAGCAGGCAGGCCTGAGAACCTTGGCAATGACTGAGGTGCTTCCGTCTCACACCATCCAGGGGAAGAGCACCATAATCAAAAACAGGCCACCAAGAGAAGCCTGACGCTTGTCGGGTAGGCAGCCTTTGCAGCCTTTGCCTCCAGGCCCCCATAAAGACTGGAGACATCCGATTCCTTCTCACATTGTGCTGGATTCCTATTCATGCAGTCTTGGCCTGCAGCTTGGAGGCTGCATGGGGAAGCACTTCATGTATGTGAGCGAGAAAGAGCTTGCCCAAGTGCAATGGATTTGATGATAAAGATTTATGTGAGAACTAATTAATGCTGAATCTGATTATCCTCAGCTAAAGAGGCAGAGTATTACAATTAGAAAGCATTTAACACAGTACCTGCCATTCCACTTATCAAACCCTTCAAATAAGATTTAATGAATTGGTTTAAAGAGTAAATCACAAACTGGGCACTTTTCAGTGGAATCAAAACTGACAGGTTTTCCTTTGGCCAGTGTGCGTGTGTGTGTGTGTGTGTGTGTGTTTAAAACTACATTTGGCATCCCTCTAGTGAGGCTTAAAATTTCTATACTCCCATTCCCCAATCCTTCAACCACCACAATCAATTGTCTGAACAACAAAGGCATTTGAGTTTTAGACACCCCAGCTTCCGCCCTTCTAAAGCAAAAACCACACAGAGAACCTCCTTCAAGTTGATTCAGGAGCTGAAGGCGTCAAGCAGATTTAGTTGGGGAAGAATGCGCTGACTTATTACATTGGAATGTGATGTAGATTTGAGCATTGTTTTTGGACATGATGATGAATACAGAGAAAAGGAGACCAATTGCTGGCAGTGTCTTCATTCTGCCCTCAACAAATATTGCTACAGGAATATAGACAGTTGTCCCTCTGAGATTAGCATATGCTGTCAGGGGCATACATTGTCCTTTGATTGTATTAGTGAAATATATCTTTGGGGGAATTTAATTTGCAAAAGCCTGATGACCCACAGTTGCCCAAGCACTGCCATATTTGGATGGCAAATGCACAAAGCACTTACTGCTTGTGATTCATCTGCCTTGAACGATCCCTATGAACAGGATCTGCAGAGGTCAGGTCTGGGCACAGAGCCATCAAGTGTTTTCCGTAACTTCATCAAGTTAAATGTTCAAAGAGCTGACTGCTGCAGGACAGATATGCCTCTTGGAGAAAACTTGTTACTTCTGCTTCTAAACCAGGAACAGAAACCACAGGAAGCAGAGGGAGCTCATCAGGTGCATTAATGAACAGCTTGTTAGTTTCATGCTGGCAATTAAATAGTCTGGGTACCATTTCTAGCCAGTTGTGGCAGTGCTAGATAGAAAAATTAAAATGATCACATGCAAGTACATTTGGTGACGGTGCCTTTTGTGTGTCTCAGAATCTCTTGGTGGTGGTAAATGTCTACTTGTGTATATCC